GTTAAATTTGTGCCTTTTAAACAAGTGGGGCTCGAGATTTCTAGAAGCAATTCTTATAGTTAGATTGTTTCTATCAATTCGATGACTAAACAATTTGATTGCACGACTTTTGACGAATTAGCATGGCCTATTAATTAAGCAACTCGAATCAATCGAGTTTCACAAGCTATGATTTCTCATAGCAAATTTGCTAAATTTAAATTGAAAACGTACTCTCATATTTTATTCTATCCTTAAACCAAAATAGCAAGATACGCTTGGATGATTTGATAAACGCTTGCATTATTGTCGTATATGAAAGGGAAATTCCATTTGAAAGTTATGAGATAAGATGCATATACTAAGGTAAATTCTGACCACAAAATGGCAGAATAATCATATCATATGAATGAAAGCAAAATTAGAATAATGGCCATTTGGCCGCAAAGAGATTCACTCATGACATTGAACTAAAGTCAAATTTGACAACCCTCCACATCAATTATAGTCCTGATGATTCACGCAATCAAATATCTCTTGAGATCTTTGTAAAACGAGTGATTTAAAAGACTTAATTATCGGGTTATCAGTATTTGTATTTGCCAAGTTGAATATTTATTACGATTTTATTATTCCTTTTATGTGTTAAATTTGACTAGTGGGGGAAGCTGACGTGACATTCTAGTTGAGAAAGTGACGTACTTGTAACAATATAAATCGAGTGACTAACATGAAACTTCGTTACAAATTCGGTAGTGTTGAAATCCTGAAAACAGGATCGAAGTGGATACTTATATCCCATCTCTAATAACTCGAGGTTTTAAATAAAACGATTAACATGATATAAAATTCAATAGGTAAACAACAACAATGAATTTAACCTTTTAATTACACGAATATTTTGGTGGTTGTTACTTTTATGTGATCTTTCGAGTGATGCTTGCCAACATTCTTTTGTACCCTTAAATTATTACTATCTTATTTATCTTTTCATGTATTCCCCAGTTTAGTACAAATTCCATGACTATATGCTGATTCAGAAGAAAGGTAGATAGAATATTAGATTAGAAGGGGTTGAAATGAAAACCTTATTAATTTGTATTCGATATAACAAAAATATATCGGTTAATTATTTGAAGGACGACTGATTAAGCTACCCCTAATCGTCACCGGGGACATAATTAATAGGTTAGTACGCGTATCAATCAGTCGCGAACCTAGCAAATTCGAACACTGTTGATACGGATAGAATGGTTCCTCTCTCTCTTTAATTGATGTAGAAAGCTATGTATTTCCAACACAATTTGGAATCAAATTCCATGAATATTTGGTGGTGACCAAATCATAATGTATTTGAATCTTAACATACTAAGAATTCTATGCCTTTGTCACTCAGAGTGGTCCATGATTCAGACAGCTTGAATTGCCTGTCTATGCTGTCAATTTCCAGCATCCTAGGAATGTCATTGGAAATCTTATGCAATTCCATTTCTTTCAACTATTTACACAGTATTGGATATGATTATACAGTACAATAAACAAGATTTGGACTACTTTTCCCTTTTTAGTTGTGTTATGTTCAATCATGTACAGTACTATGTAACAAACCATCGTGAACTAGAAAAAGAATTGAACAAAGAGATATCACAATGCAAGGGCAATGATTTATAAATTTACAACAACTCCTAAACGCGAAGGATGTAGCATAGTCAACATACAGTTTGGACAAACATTTACAAGGTAGAAAGATATATAGGTTTTGGCATTAACCGAGTTTTTAAGATCAATTGGGCTTGACTAAATCTCGAAAATATTTTAAGTTTATGATTAAAACCATACTATTATCTACAGATTGAGTTGTGCAACCGACTAATAAAATGCTCAAGAACATGACTTTATTAGGCCTAAATTGTAGAGGAATTTCTCTGACCTTGAGCGGAAGATATCACCAAAAGACGGTTTTCCGGTCTGTGGAGTTTGTGCAATTGTGTACGTATCATCCTTCACACGGAGTATAGTTAGGCCTATTTCATTACGAACTGCTTCAATTGTTTCACTTTTAACTGGGCAACCAGATGCATCAGCAACATAGAAAACATTTACAGCCTGAGAACCCCGGGTTGTGACCTTGGCTTTAGTAACTGAAAGACCATTCTCTCTAAATAAGCGAGTTACATCTGACAGAAGACCCGCCCTGTCTTCACCACATAGTTCTAGCCTTATTCCCTGCATTATGCACTCAAATGTCATATACTTGAAATTGAAGTGGGTAGCGAAACTAAATGTGAACCATCTTCAGATCAGTACCTCAGATGTTCGTCTCTTGATTGCTGCCTCCAAGCAATGGATTACACGTTGTCTCTCCGCCTCAGAACTAACGGGGGACCCGTCAACATGCCTTATATAATATTCCTAACATAGAAAAGGACATAATATAATTTCTCTATCGAGTCAACAATATAGTGGTCCATACCACATGCCAGTGAAGGCCATCAACCAAAATGCAATTCATTTATGGAACGTCTGGTATGGAGGACTAGACACCAGTGCATTAAAGAAGAAAAGAAACTACGATCTCGTTGATTGTACTATCTATCATGTCTAATATTGTAAATGCCATAATGTTTTATTGCACATGCAAAATCTTGCCAGCTAGGAAACTGCAATAATTAAGAAGCACTTTAAACACAAAAATATTAAAACATTAATTAAGGAGTGCTATAAGTTCAACCGAGCAACAGACTTCAAGCTAAAGAGTACCTGATGAGCCTCTGGTCCTTCAGCAATGATGGTGGCATGGAACACAACATATTGCATATCAGTCAATGTGCATACTGTGTCAAAAAGCAGCTTAGGACGATCTGGACAGCTCACGTTAACCACAGTGTAGCCTTTATCTGCATAGTTTTCTGCATTCACGAGGGGTTTGCTCCGATCAGGTATCATACAATCCATATTCTCATTATCATAATCACGATCAGCATACATCATCTGATGCAGCCTCCTCTCTGTATGAGTAGAACTGACAGAAACTTCTGTGTTGGCGCTTCGCCTATCTCTGTCTCCTTTCAGAACGTAAAGGAGAAGTTGTTTGACCTTAGCAAGCCGATCAGGATCATTGATTGCCAATCCATTCTCTTCATCAGTTATATAAACAACCGAAGCCATTCTAGAGTTATGAGTCCATACTTCGGCAGCAAGTACATTACACTTGAGGTCAGCAAGAACTGCAAAGACCTCTGAAATCAAGCCCGGTCGGTCTCTTCCCGACAACTCTATGGTCGTATGCTCCGCTGCAGGTTTGACGCCCACAGATCTTGTCATCGACCGAAAGCTCCGCCCTTTTGGTCCCAGTGACTGCAATATAATTTAATCATCAGTACAATTTTGATAGTGCGGAAATTTTGATGAGCAAGATACATCCATCGATTCTATTTTATTTTAGTCTATTCACGTCCAATGCAACATAAACTTTCTATTATCTATTATCCTACCGATGATTTGATTCAGCAGAGGACTTTTGTTTTAGCTGTTCATTTATTAAAGATGATTTAATGATCCTACTCGTCTCTCCAAGTGCAAAATAAATCATACCTCGACTAATACTGTTCACACGGATTTCAAACATGTCTACCATATAATCTGCTGCTGATACTGACAGATTCGGTAGTTTCCTTTTGAGTGCAGTAGCTTATGTGCTTGTAATAAATCCTAACCACTTCAATAAATTAACAAATCAAGAAAATTAATGAACTAAGACATTAAACCTCATCATTTCCGGATATCGGTGGCAGGTTACAACCAAAATTGCTATCCGGCAATACACTTGATATTAGACGGAATTATGAATTATATAACTTTCCACCTAGAAATCAATGCAAGCCATTCTTAAATAGTAAATTAGGAGATTAGCTCCTTCAAAAAATTTCTTAACAATCTTGTGATCAGCACGAACCGCATAATCTATTAACATTTTGTGGTATGTACCTGCTGAATGCGCTCGGCAATGTTATCTTCGGAGACCTTATTTCCTTGTTTATCAGTAACATGGAAAACTGCAGTTGACAATCAAAAAAATCAACCATCAAAGAATTAGACTCAAAATCAATTATAAGTAAATTTTAAGGAAAAAAAGTGATTACCATCCATAAACCATTCCCCATCCGAAGAAATGTAAGCCCTCCTTATTATCAGGTTCAGATCAGTAAGAACCTGAACCACCTCCAACAAACTTCCTCTCTTATTTGCACTATCTACCTGAAAAATCCGACAAAAAACATATAATCATACCAAAATTTTCCCCAAATATAACATTTTTCTTAATTTAATCAAATTCAAAATTCTATTACCTTGATCAAAGTTGCTTTATTGTTTGATGCATTATCAACAGTTACCCTACAATAACCCACATCAGAAGTAAAATTCAAAAACCATACCTTTTGTCAGATTCTTCAAAATTTACCATTTTCAGTCATAAAAGTTACAGTCTCAAAAGAGAAACACAATTGACCAGTTACGGAAAATAAAATTTATTCACACATATAGCATAAACAAGAAACAAAGAACCAAATTACCTTGGTGGGTTCATTCTAAGAACAAGCTTCTCAAATTCATCATCAACGCTAACAGATGATGACCAGTAATCCATATTTCTTTTTTTCAAAAATTTGACACAAAAACTGACTGAAAAATGCTCTGTTCTGTCTTATGTAACAGTTTCTAAAGAAATTTCTCTTGTAATCTGATAGCGTTAGATGTAATCTGGGTCTGGATTCTGAGGCAGGAGAAAAAAGGGTCTGAATTGTTGCGGTGCGTTGGTTAAAATTGCAGTAGCTCTTAAGCTGTACCATTACCTAGAGTTTTTGGAGGGACTCTTTATCATTAGTTAGCACATTACATTCATACTTCGGCAGCAAGTACATTACACTTGAGGTCAGCAAGAATTGCAAAGACCTCTGAAATCAAGCCCGGTCGGTCTCTTCCCGACAACTCTATGGTCGTATGCTCCGCTGCAGGTTTGACGCCCACAGATCTTGTCATCGACCGAAAGCTCCGCCCTTTTGGTCCCAGTGACTGCAATATAATTTAATCATCAGTACAATTTTGATAGTGCGGAAATTTTGATGAGCAAGATACATCCATCGATTCTATTTTATTTTTGTCTATTCAAGTCCAATGCAACATAAACTTTCTATTATCTATTATCCTACCGAAGATTTGATTTAGCAGAGGACTTTTGTTTTAGCTGTTCATTTATTAAAGATGATTTAATGATCCTACTCGTCTCTCCAAGTGCAAAATAAATCATACCTCGACTAATACTGTTCACACGGATTTCAAACATGTCTACCATATAATCTGCTGCTGATACTGACAGATTCGGTAGTTTCCTTTTGAGTGCAGTAGCTTATGTGCTTGTAATAAATTCTAACCACTTCAATAAATTAACAAATCAAGAAAATTAATGAACTAAGACATTAAACCTCATCATTTCCGGATATCGGTGGCAGGTTACAACCGAAATTGCTATCCGGCAATACACTTGATATTAGACGGAATTATGAATTATATAACTTTCCACCTAGAAATCAATGCAAGCCATTCTTAAATAGTAAATTAGGAGATTAGCTCCTTCAAAAAATTTCTTAACAATCTTGTGATCAGCACGAACCGCATAATCTATTAACATTTTGTGGTATGTACCTGCTGAATGCGCTCGGCAATGTTATCTTCGGAGACCTTATTTCCTTGTTTATCAGTAACATGGAAAACTGCAGTTGACAATCAAAAAAATCAACCATCAAAGAATTAGACTCAAAATCAATTATAAGTAAATTTTAAGGAAAAAAAGTGATTACCATCCATAAACCATTCCCCATCCGAAGAAATGTAAGCCCTCCTTATTATCAGGTTCAGATCAGTAAGAACCTGAACCACCTCCAACAAACTTCCTCTCTTATTTGCACTATCTACCTGAAAAATCCGACAAAAAACATATAATCATACCAAAATTTTCCCCAAATATAACATTTTTCTTAATTTAATCAAATTCAAAATTCTATTACCTTGATCAAAGTTGCTTTATTGTTTGATGCATTATCAACAGTTACCCTACAATAACCCACATCAGAAGTAAAATTCAAAAACCATACCTTTTGTCAGATTCTTCAAAATTTACCATTTTCAGTCATAAAAGTTACAGTCTCAAAAGAGAAACACAATTGACCAGTTACGGAAAATAAAATTTATTCACACATATAGCATAAACAAGAAACAAAGAACCAAATTACCTTGGTGGGTTCATTCTAAGAACAAGCTTCTCAAATTCATCATCAACGCTAACAGATGATGACCAGTAATCCATATTTCTTTTTTCCAAAAATTTGACACAAAAACTGACTGAAAAATGCTCTGTTCTGTCTTATGTAACAGTTTCTAAAGAAATTTCTCTTGTAATCTGATAGCGTTAGATGTAATCTGGGTCTGGATTCTGAGGCAGGAGAAAAAAGGGTCTGAATTGTTGCGGTGCGTTGGTTAAAATTGCAGTAGCTCTTAAGCTGTACCATTACCTAGAGTTTTTGGAGGGACTCTTTATCATTAGTTAGCACATTACATTACATTACACATGGGAAAATCAGATAGAGAGAGAGAGAGAGAGAGAGAGAGAGTAAATAGGGCTCATACGAGGCCTTGCTAACGCGGGCGTGTCGCTAGTCGTGTGGACCCCAACATTCAACGCCACTTGGTCTCTCTCTCTCTCTCTCTCTCTCTCTCTCTCTCTCTCTCTCTAGGGTTTGTTAATCCCTCCATTTAATTTTTTTGGGTGAAAATTTTGCTATGACTAAGTCGAGTTTAAATGGGTCTATTCTTAAAAAATTGTCTTGAATTAAATAACTAACAAACTTTGATTATCTTAGATGGTTTGATTTGAATTCGTACTTCCATTAACCCTCCATTTGAGCCACATTATTGTAAAAATTAAAATGAAAAATATAGTCATTGTGAGCCCCATACAATAGATAAAAAGTCAAATATGGTGATTTGATATGACGAATTTTTTCATTTTAAGAAAGAAATAATGGGGCTCAAACAAGGCCTAAATGACTTTTATCTCAAATGGTTTGATTTGACCTAAAATGCATTTTGGAATAGTAATATATTTGGAATAATATTTTGATTAAGAATGTGTAATTAAAAAATAAGAAAAAATTTTAGATTTATGTACAATATTATTTTATTGAATAATATGTGATTATAAATAAGAGAAAAAAATGTATTTTAAAAATAATGAGAACGAAACAAAGGCATAGAATAAATAAAGAAGGTTGGAAAATAATTGGTCCAATGAAGTAGTACTGAACGGTTACACATTTTAATTATTTAATTGAAGATCCACTTGAAGAGGTTGACTTCACTTTTACCTCTTTTGGGTTAGGTAACTAGAAATAAATCTTCATTAAGAACTATTTATTACCTAGTTTTCTTGGTCGAGAGCCACTTATAAGTAATGTTGTAAAAGGCGTAATGATTGGCGATGTGTAAAGGTTAAGTTATTGAATAGACAAGTTTAGGCGACGTATGGACGTAAAAATGAATTTTTTTATTTTAATATTATTTTAAGTTTTAATCAATTAAAAAATCATTCAATAAGTAAAAATAATACCCATCAAACATCTAAAACAAATTTATAGGAACTTTATACATTTTTTTTTTTAAATTTTCAACAAAAAGATAAGTTTCAAATGGAAATACTAAGCCCCCATTAAATTTCATTTCATTTTTATCTCTCATATTTTCAATAACACGATCTTTCATAAAATGATATTACATGTAAATCGAAATTTTTTTCTTCTTTTTCAACCATTCATTTTTCAAAACAATATTATTACACCCATTTTTATACAAAAAATGGGGGCCAAGTAGGGGGCTAAATAGTAAATAAATAAGAGTTTTGGGGATAATTTTTTAATTTTTATTTTTTTTGGCTTCAAGCGGCTATTTTGAGCTTAGGGCAAACGAAGTGAAAAAATCAACTTTTAAATTTTAAACTAAAAAAATTGTAAAAAAACAAATTTAAAAATTAAATAATAATAATAATAATAATAATAATAATAATGATAATGTGTGCCTAGACGCGCATAATCATGCCTAAGTAGGCATTAGCGGTAAACTGTTGTCAAGCTACTTGGCTAGGTGTTTTTGCCATGCATCACGTCGTCGTCTAGCACTGTCTAGGGACGCCTTTTAGAACACTACTTATAAGTACATCTAATCTAAATTTAGGATCATCTCTGTATCACATGAATACTTTGATTTTGAATAGGATATATTGTTTTTCATTTTTATTGTTCGGAATAATAGATTGATGACCTTATGAGTAATATTGACATAGAATGTTGAAATCTCAATGTCAAAATTTTATTAGTTGAAATCATGGTACTTATTAAGAGTGGATGATCATCATTTATAATACGTTTGCATTTCCAAAAAAATCTTTAAGCATTAGATGTTCTCTAATTTAAAGAGTGAATCCTTAAAATTATGCTCCAAAAGCCTCTTTAAAATAATATTTTAATATAGAGATTCTCTATAATTAAATGCATTTAAAGTATTTTATTTTTCAATGGAGGAAAATAATTTAATAAGTTGGAGGAAATCTAGTGAAAATATTAAATATTTTTTTGGGGAATAGTAAAATTAAGTGTTAAAATATAAAGAGTTTGTTGGAGTAATTTAAAAATTTTACTCTCTAAATTTATAAATATTTTTTAAATTGTATAATATGCTCCTTAAAAATAAAGAATTTTTTGAAAATACTCTTAATCAATTAACTTTACTAGTTTAAGTGTCCGTTTGAGAGGACTTTTATTTCTATTTGTAAAAAGTTAATGAGGAAATTTCCTCTAAAAATAGTCGGATACAGTGATTTCAGAAAATTATTCAAATAAGTCTAAAACAATTTTTTAGTTTCATAAGTAATTTTTTACCATTCAAAAATTCTTCAAAACTGGTCCCAATACGATTACTTGAACTTTGCAAGCTTTATATTTTAGCCCTCCTTTTTGCTCTTGTTTGGTCTTGCTAAGAATCAAATTTTTAGTAAATTTTGATAAAAATGTGTAGTTAAAAAGTTGGTAGAAATAGTGAATTCCGTGAAAAATGTATTTTAAATAATAATTAATTTTTGACTTCCTTTTCTATTAATTTTTTTAGCTAAATCAAAGAGGAATTTTATATCTGTCGGAGGATTCAAAGGGAATCCCTTCCTCTCTCCTTCGACAGCTTCAATTAAGTGCAATTCTAATGAGAATCTAGAACCTACGCTGCTCTATTGAAATCCACCCCGACGCCATTAATTCCTTTTACATTACAAGTTGTTCCCACTTGGGCTTAATGGCGCAAGGAATTTGAGCACTTACTACACTCCAATCTGTTCCTCAATTGGATTATTTTACTTTTTTTTTTTTTTATTCAATGGATCATTGTGCATCCATCATTCTGCATCACCATCCATTTTCTTGAGAAACGAAATTTTATATTACCTTCATTCTTGTTTTGGGAAAATTGTAGTAGTGGTCCCAAATCTTTTCAATTTTTCATAATTTACCCTAATATTAATTTTGTGCCACTCACAATTTCAAACCTTTCAAAAATATGTAGTTGAAGTCCAAATTTGACTGTTAGTTGATCAAAGAAGTTAAAATCTGATCAATTTTGACCAAATATTAAAGGATAAAATGGTAACTTTATATTTTTCTCACTTTAAATAAGTTAAAAATAAAATTTAAAAACCAAAAAATAAGAATTTTTTTTTAATTTTTTTAATTTACTCGTTTTGTTAGATATTTTAAATAATCATCATGTAATATGAAATTAAAAAAATTTAATTATTATTATCTAAATGTCAATT